ACACACACACACACACACACACACACAATGTGTGAAAATTGACTTTGAAAGTTCAGTAAGTTAAAACAATACATTTCAAATGTCAAAGGAGCTCACAAATTTTTAAGTTAATAACATTTTTGAGTGAAATTAAGCTGACACACAGCTTTATACTTTTAATAAATTTGAGGATTTCTACTTTGATGAGTTACAACCGAGGATGATGTATAACATCCATGCCGCTGAAAGAAATCGGTGTAGAAGACACAAATGTCCTATTTATTTTCAATTAAACAAGACCCAGTGTCAAAATCAATACCTCATCCCAGCAGCGTCTCCTCAGACGGGTGCATCAGTCAATTTTTTCTCAGTCACCTTATTTCATTCATCCTTTTTTTGTCTTATTCACCAAAAGATAGGAAATAAAATAGTGATTTATTTTTTCATTAGAGCTGAAAGAATGAGACTTTGTGCTTTTAACACTGTAGTAGATAATAGTGGAAGTAGTTTGACAAAGGAGTAGACGTGAGTCCAGCAATTTATTTAGAACGAAACAGAAGAGTACGGCACAGGATTGCATCAGCAGAAGTTTATGCATAGAATTTGATTCTGAAAATAATTTACATATATTTATAGGTTTTTTTTTTCCCTTTAGTAACCTCATTTTCATAAACACACATCTCATCATTCAGTGAAATTCCTCGCTGTTTAGTACATAGTTTGTGTCAGATGGATGCATTTCTTTCTGCCTCTTGATATGTTCTGTACGTCGGTGCGGACATCAGATTTGCTGAAGTCAAAGCAAAAACTTTGAATGCCACTGTACTGCACACTACAAGACTGTCAACACTATGGTTGCATTCAAAATGTAATAATAAGAGGATTGGCTAAAAAAAAATATATGAAGGTAAGCTTATTCAGAACCAACAGGAGAGAACTGAAATTATTTATCAGCCATTCCGGGAAGAGAAAGAGAGAAGAAGGTGGAAAGACAGCAGAAGCAGAAATTTCAGACATTTCTTTCAAAGACAAGTTGAATAAGATTAGGCAGAAGTGACCAACTATGATCCAGTGACGCGATGACTTGAAAAAAACAAACATACTATAACTTAGAGAGGTCTGAATAAAATTAGTTATTTTCATAAAAGCTTTACTTTTTTTCTTATTTTAATTAAAACTCTAAGCAGATTCTAGACCAAGATTTAATTCAGTAGCCGGTGAAATTATTGTTTATTTTGGTGGGTTTACACTCCCAGCTAAATCCATGACAGCTCCCCCCTCCCCAAACTGTCCCATTAATTTATGTTTCAGCTTTTCAAAAGTTCTTGTGGGCAGTACATGCTACACATTTATCAATCGAGGATTCAGCCCAGTGCGGGGGTCACGATTCTCTGTGGTATTAGAGGCCTGGAACAACAAGGAGACAAAGTCTGTCATCAGGTTAGCTTCGGAGAGAGCCGAGGGGAGCCGCTGCTGTGCCGGTTCACTACATGTTCTTGTACATGGAGCGATCTCTGGGGAGCTGGGGCTGAGCCGCTGTCAGCTTGAGGTGAAAGTGGTAGATTGTGAGGATGATGACGATTATTAGGCCCAGAATGAGGCCCAAGATAAGGGGGAGGGTCTCCTCCAGGCGCTCCCGCTGGTCTGTGATGCATTTGTAGGCTGCAGAAAGTAGAATGATACACAGTCTGTATGAGAAGGTGATCGAACGTGACTTACAAAGGGCAAAGATGGTGTGTAGATTATTTCAGAACTTATTTGTATTGCATGCTGGATGATATTTTTTTATACCTGAACTATATTGTTATACATAATATCAGGGTATTCTTTTATTCTATTCAGATTTAAGGCTGAACTTCATTTAGTTGTGTGAGTTATATACTTTTCAATGACAATAAATTGAATCCAGTCTAATCAGATGATTGTTTTCTTGATGAACTGAGTTTATTGTCTGGAAAGATTAAATTACCAGAAAAGACTGAGACTTGAACCAGTCAACATATTAGCATTTTTGCTTAGAGGTGACTCAGAGCTGTTTGATTTTCTGTCGTCGCTTAGATAACTTTGGATGTTCTTGAAATGCATTAATGTCCTTCAGCCTTTCTGCTTGTAGTTGTTGACATGAAGGAGACACACACGTGGCATCTCACAAGTTTAGTCAAGCATCTCTGTTCTCTGGACTTTTTCTCAGGGTGGCTGTAGCTCAGAAGGTAGAGCAGGCCATCTATTTATTGGAAGGTTGCTGGTTCAATGCCTGGTTGTGTTCATCGGGTTTGTTCTACTTATGTGCAACGCAAGGTAGAATTCTAATATTTCAACAAAATTAATAGTTTTGTTTTTGTTATTCTTTTTTTGCACAATTGTTGTGATGATCACAATAAGTCATATCTCTTTTAGTTAGACTTTTTTTTTCTCTTTTGTGCATTTTATAGTTTGATACACTGGTGTTTGTGGGAGTGGGATAGGACACCTAAGCCATCATTGGATGTACAGTATGTATATGGGGGTTAAAGTTGAAGGTGCTTCTCCCCGTGGACAGCAGTTATACACACTAGGAGAAAGGCAGTGAAGCATTGCACAGCCTAGTTTACAGCAGCTAAGGGACAAATGATTCTTACAAGGTGATTGGACAGAGAGGTGAGTACGTCTATAAAAGCTGCATTCAGGGCAAGGATATGACTGCACTCATAAACTCCTAATGACCCCCCCCACCCCCTTTTTTCTGTCTCTCCCCCTCTCTGCATCTCCTGTGTCCCCACCTCCTCTTTTTCCTCTTGTCACCCTGGCGCCTTCTCTGCAGCCCTCATACTGCAGCAATAACACCCCCCAGAGAGCTCTGTTTGCGAGTCAGCAAGAGAGACGTACAGCTGTAGCACTCTGAACCCCCAGGATTTCTCATTATCATCATCATCATCTCTGTTGTTCCACGAAATGTGTGACCAGAAAAGCATGACAGTGTGTGTGGCAGCAATCGGGCAGTTTTTCGTCAAAGGGGTCTTCTGTTGTGCTCTTACGTTCACTGAACATGAAGTCAGATGCGATGTCAAAGGGCTGGATCTGGATGTCATACATGGAAACGGTGATGCC